ATTGAGTTTGCCCAGCAAACGACGATATAGAGTTGGGTCAGGCAAGGGCTCCCCAACACCAGAAAATAATTTGCAAGAAGGGTCAAGAGGAGAACTCACAGGAGAGAGATCAAGACAATCAAACTCAGCCAAGAGTTCAAGCAAGAACTTTCGTTGACTCAGAATCAATCCATGAGGCTCCCGTAGAACTTCCATCCCTAAGAAAAAGATAAGTTTCCTAAATCCTTAATCTTGAATTCAGCATCTAAGAAATGTTTTAGATCTTGTAGTTCCTGGAAATTGTTCTCGATAAGTAGAATATCGTCCACATAAACAATAACCAAAGAAATAGAACCCCCGGTCTTCTTGTAGAATAGAGAATAATCGTTGAGTGAGTGAGAAAAACCCTTGAAATTCAAAGCAACAGTAAGACGAGCATACCATTGTCGAGATGCTTGTCGTAGACCATAGAGATATTTCTTAAGACGACAGACCATGTTAGAAGAGGGAGGAGAAAGTCCAGCAGGAAATTTCATATAGACTTCTTCAAACAGATCCCATGTAAAAATGTGTTATTGACATACAACTGATATAAACCCCAGTCCTTCTTGATAGCAATAACTAAAATACACCTTATGGTAGTCATTTTAACCACGGGAGAGAAAGTTTGAGTAAAGTCTATACCTTCCCTTTGGGTATCACCACGAATAACCAGTCTAGCCTCTAGTCTTTCCACAGACCCATTAGATTTGATCTTTACTTTGTAAACCCATTTACAAGGGAGAGCTTTCTTTCCTGGGGGAAGAGGAACTACATCCCAAGTCTCATTAGCTAACAAGGCATCAATTTCTTTAGTCATAGCTTCCTGCCAACCAGGGTGCATGGCTGCTTGGAAAAAAAGAGGTAGGTTCTTGAATATGGGGAATAAAATTGAGCAAAAGCTGATTAGAAGGAGATAGGGCAGAAAAAGAGTAGTGATTAGGAGTAACATGAGAGAGAAAACATGTAGTAGATACACCAGCTGAATGCACAACACCACAGATGTAGGTATGAGGGTGTTTTATGTTCTCTAAGAGATCTTCGAAGGGTAGTCTCCATAGGCAAGTCATTAGATGGTTCAGTTACATAAATAGATGGAGAATTGGATGTGGAAGAAATATGTGGTGATGTAGGAGTAGAATCAGGAAGAACAGGTGAGGAAACAGATGGAGATTCAGAGGGAACATGTAAAGGAGGACTAAGTGGAGAAACATGGATATTGTTAGGAAGATCATTGTGTGAGATATGTGTCAAAGGACTTGTGGGAAATATAGGTGTGGCAGAATTAGATAGATAGACAAAAAGATAGACAGATTTATGAAAGACCACATCCCTAAAAACAAAGATGTATCTAGTGGATAGGTTCAAAAGTTTGTAACCCTTCTTACCAAAAGGATATCCAATAAATGCACAAGATACTACCCTTGGGTCCAATTTGCCCCTATTTTGAGAGAGAGTGAAAGCATAACAGAGACAACCAAAACATCTTAAGAAAGAATAGTCTGGTGATTTGTGGAAAATGATTTCAAAAGGTGTTTTGTAATTCAATAGTCTTGTAGGGTATCTATTGATTAGAAAAGTGGTTGTAAGTAGGCATTTCCCCCCCAATAACTAGTAGGCAAATGAGATTGGAATAGAAGAGCTCTACGTACCTCTAATAGATGTCTATGTTTGCACTATACTATTCCATTTTGTTGGGGTGTTGCTACACAGCTTGTTTGGTGAATAATCCCTTTGGAAAGGAAATAGGCAGTTGCACAAATACTAAAGCCAAACTCTAATGCATTGTCAGATCTAACTTTCTTTATCTTTGTGTTAAACTGTGTTTCTACCATATAGATAAAGGATTTGAGTATGGTGAAGGCACTACCTTTTGTGCTCAAAAGATAGGTCCATGTGCCCCTGCTAAAATCATCTACAATTGTAAGAAAGTATTTGAATATATCATGAGTGGCTGTTTTATATGGACCCCAAGTGTCAATATGAATAAGCTCAAATACTCTGGTGGTAGAAATATGACTATTGGGAAAAGGCAACCTATGTTGCCTAGCTAAGAGGCAAATTGCACAGGGGGTTGCAGCCTTATTGATGTGAAAATGTGGTAGGCTACTAATGTTTTTCATACTAGTAATTGACATATGTCCTAGTCTAATGTGCCATACATCTTGACAAGAAACAACAGAATTAGACATAAAATAAACAGGAGAATCAATAACATTGTCAAGTAGATGAAAGAAAACATTATTTGTAGAAGTAAGATGTCTAGAAGGGTAGTGTGTAAATCTCAGAATGTAGAGTCCATTACTAAGTTTACCAAGGTCCAAAGGCCTCTTCAAGGGAAGGCCGGCATAGAGCAGAGAAAGGCACCAAAGATTAGTTCACAACCAAACTGATAGCAAAATTTGTGAATAGAAAGTAAGTTGAACTTGAAAGAGGGCACATATAGTACTCTGTCTAGAATTATGTCTGGAAACAAAGATACTTTTCCAGCATAAGTAACTCTAATTTTGAAAGAATTTGACAAGTTAACAATTAAAGGTTGGGTCAAGGTTATGATGTCAAACAAGATAGATTTGTCAAAAGTCATGTACTCAGAAGCACCTGAGTCAAGGATCCAAGAATGTATAAAGGATTTATTAGGGAGTAAAGAAGGCAGCATAGGAGCTATACCAACACAGTTAACAGTAACATTAACCTCAGAACTTGAAGCAGCTTGTTGTCCAATTTTGAGTTGTTGTAGGATTTCCACAAGCCGAGAATATTGTTCCTGATTTATTCCCATGATGCTTGATGAATTATGTTGTTGAATTCTCTGATTATATTGCTGAACATCACCAAATTCTTCTTCTATAAATACTACATTTCCTTGTATCATATTTGGGTTTTGAAATTTTCTTGTTCTATTCACCTGCATATTCCCTTGCACATTTGTCTTAAAACTGTTTGGATAACCATGGATTTTGAAACACTTTTCGATTGTATGTCCAGCTCTTTGACAATAGGAACAAAATATATTTCTCTTGTCACTTCCCTTTGCTGCATTGTTTCTGTTTCCTCCCCCAGTATTTAGGTTAAAATTCATCCTACTCTATCCTGAATACTGTCCAAACTTTTGTGTTGATGCATTAAATGAACTCGAATCCATAGGAGAATTCATTGTAGGTTGAATATATCTTTGTCTTTCTTCTTGAAGAAGTAAAGAATATGCCTTATCAATATTTGGTGTAGGAGTCATCATCATTATATTTCCTCTACAAGCAGTGTATGTTTCATTTAGTCCCATAAGAAATTGAACTAATTTTTGTCTCTCCTCAATTGCCTTATTCTTATGTTTTGCTTCACATGTGCATTCAACACAAGTACATGGAATTTTTGCATCCAATGCATTCAACTCATCCCATATTGCTTTTATATTATTGAAATAGGTTGCTATATCATTAGATCCTTGTACAGTTTCTAATAATTTTTTTTGTAGGCCAAATGATTGAGCTACATCAGATTGTCCATACCTGTCTTCAAGTTGTTTTCAAAGATCCCTTGCATAATTGGAAAGAAGAACACTTGACCTAATTCCTTTTGTCAACAAGTTTATTAACCAAGCCATTACCATATCATTACATCGAGCCCAAAGCTCGAAATATGGGGAATCATCTCTAGGTTTGAGAAGTCTTCCATTGATCAATCCTACTTTGTTTTTAGCTGATAGAGAAATCAACATTGATTTGCGCCAATCTGCATACCCAGTTCCGTCAAATAACGTGAACACCAAATTTGTTCCAGGATTATCCGAAGGACTCAAGTAGAGAGGATGTGAGCTTTCAACAACAATTTGATTCTCAGCAAAAGGATTCTCTGCCGCCATTGTTATCAATAACTCGAAGTAGAAAATCAATTCCAATGGATAAAAAAAATGAATTGTATGAAACGAAAATAAAATTGAAGATCGATCAAACTGAATCGACTGAATTGTGAACGTAATTCACAAAAAAAATGTAGAACAATATAGAAGATTTAGGAGATCGAGCACCTGTGCTCTGATACCATGTTTGGATTCAAGAATTTGGAATGAACAAAATGCATTTTGGAATTTTGGTGCTTTTTTTTTCTATCTCAATAAAAACAGTACAATGTATATATATATACATCAATGACTAACCCCCTAACTTTCTGTCTAACCACATTAGTGGAATAACTAATTACATAAATATCCCTAGATCTTTCTAGAGTGTATGTGTAACTATAAGGACTAAAATGTTATAACATCCTTCAAAGATTAGACTATGTAATGCCCTTTGTATTGGATGTATCGATCAGTGGGTCAGTCTTCTTCTTCTTTATTTGCTCCGCCGGAACACTGTCAACATGCGTAAGTCTAGTTAATAATAGTAGTGTTGTTGTTCACTTCGCATCAATTAATGTTATACTCCATTATATTTTTAAACTTTTATGTCTAATCTCTTAAAAGATTCTTAGTTTACACATAATATATATAGAAATTAAACACAATAGATCATTGCAATATTTTTTTTTTTATCAAATTATAAATAACTATGAGGGTGTTTGGATTGACTTAAAAGCTGTCAAACAAACTTCAAAGCACATTTTGGTTAGTTTGAGTGTTTGGCAAACATAAAATATATATTGAATTATTTTCTCATTCACTTCCGGCAAGTATTTATAATTTTTAATTAGGGATGACTCCAAAAAATATAAATTATGAAAAAATTACATATTGCCGATTTGATTCTATTTTAACTGACGTTATTTTTTGCAGTTAATGTATAAATCAAACTAAATATTATTGTATTTTGAACTTTTAACACCAAAAAACACTAAACAAATACATTGAATATTACTTACTCCAATAATATAATTAGTTGAAAAGTTAACGGGAGAAGCATATACTGGAGGCTGGAGCGGCTTATTTTTTCCTACAGTAAAATATCTTTTGTAACTCGTCCAAATAGTTTTGAACTATTCGTATATAATTTGGGTTTAGGGTTTAAGAGTAGCATAACTCACTTTTGCTACACTGTCACTTGAACGAACACAACTGTCAAAGGAAACTTCGTACAATCAAATCAAATGCGTGTCTGAAATTTTTTCCATGTGGGTTTCAACAATAAGGTCAGCTTCTTATAGATACCTATTCAAGAACAGCTATCATTTAATTCGACTTAAATCAGTTTCTTCAGTAGCTCAATTAAGCCCATATTTTTCGGATTCTAGTTCTGATGAACAAAATGGAAATACCCAAATGAAAAATAGTACCAATAATATTCTTGAGGTAAATTCTTATTGGGTCACTGAAATGCTCAACAGTTTAAAGGAAGAGCCTGAAAATGCTTTATTATTTTTTCGTCAATTAAAAGAAAGTGGGTTTAAACATGATGTACAAACTTATATGGCTATGGTTAGGACATTTTGTTATTGGGGTATGGATATGAAATTGGATTCTTTGTTTTTGGAGGTTATAAATTGTGGAAAAAAGGATTTGGGGTTTGAGGTTTCTGATTTGTTTGAGGAACTAGTGGAGGGGTTAAATGCTGAGGGCCCTAATTCGTTGGTTCGGGCTTTGGATGCATTGGTTAAGGCTTATGCTAGTTTAAGGATGTTTGATGAAGCTATTGATGTGTTGTTCAAGACGAAAAGGTGTGGTTTTGGGCTGAGTGTGTTGTCGTGTAATTATCTCATGAATCGGCTTGTTGAGTGCGGGAAAGTAGATATGGCCGTGGCGGTTTATAAACAGTTGAAGAGGATTGCGGTGAAACCCAATGTGTATACATATGGAATTGTGATCAAGGCATTGTGTAGAAAAGGTAGTTTGGAAGAAGCGGTTAATGTATTTGAGGAGATGGAGAAAGCTGGTGAAACTCCTAATGAGTTTACTTATTCCACTTATATTGAAGGGCTTTGCTCGTATGGTAGATCAGACTTGGCTTATGATGTATTGCGGGCATGGAAAGGAGCGAATCTACCCCTTGACGTCTATGCCTATACTGCTGTAATTCGCGGGTTTGTTAATGAGAAGAGGTTGCAAGAAGCAGAAATTGTTCTGCTTGACATGGAGGAGCAAGAACTGATCCCTGATGCCTTTTCTTATGGGGCTATAATTCATGGTTACTGTGATGCCGGGAATATTACTAAAGCTCTGGATTTCCATGACAAGATGGAAGCAAGGGGTATCAAAAGTAATTGTGTAATTGTCAGCTCAATTCTTCAGTGCTTGTGCAAAAATGGCAAGGCATGTTATGTTGTTGATCAGTTCAGTAGTTTTATGAAGCAGGGTATTTTTCTTGATGAGGTGGCTTATAATGTCGTAATTGATGCCCTGTGCAAACTCGGTAGGTTTGGAGAGGCGGTGAAGTTGCTTGATGAGATGAAGGGTAAGAAGATGACACTTGACATTATGCATTACACTACTTTTATAAATGGGTATTGCCTCCATGGAAAAATACTAGATGCGTTGGAGTTATTTGAAGAAATGAAAGAGAAAGGCTTGAAACCTGACGTTATTACTTATAATGTGCTTGCTGGTGGATTTTCTAGAAATGGCCTTGTTAAAGAGGCACTTCACCTTTTGGACCATATGAAGGGACAAGGCTTGACTCCAACGACTGTCACACATAATGTGATTATTGAGGGCTTATGTGTTGGAGGTTATGCAGAGGAGGCTGAAGCATTTTTTAGTAGTTTGGAGTATAAATCTGTAGAAAATTATGCTGCCATGGTGAATGGATATTGTGAATTAGGCAACACTAAAGATGCCTATGAACTTTTTGTTAGGCTATCAAAACAAGGCATTTTAATTAGAAGGAACTCTCGTTTGAAGCTTCTCACTAGCCTCTGTCTGGAAGGTGAATACGGGAAAGCCATAAAGTTGTTCGAGATAGTGTTGACTTTAGATGATGACACTTGTAAAATAATGTACAGCAAACTAATTGCTTGTTTATCTAGTGCTGGAGATATGAAAAGGGCCAGGTGGGTGTTCGATAATATGGTTTGGAGAGGATTAACGCCTGACGTGGTTATTTATACTATGATGTTAAATGGTTATTGCAAGGTGAATCACTTGCAGGAAGCTGTTAATCTTTTTGATGATATGAAGGAAAGGGGCATTTCTCCTGATGTGATCACTTACACAGTTATGCTTGATGGTCACTCTAAGAATGTAAAAAGAGATCGATTGTCATCAGATACAGGGAGGAATGGCGGAGAAAGAAAGGATACATGGTGGAATAATGGGGAAAAGACAGACCCTTCAACTTTTTGGAGTGAAATGAAGGAGATGGAATTAAAAGCTGATGTTATTTGCTACACTGTTTTGATTGACAGGCACTGTAAATCAGATAACATTGATGATGCTATTCGCCTTTTCACTGAAATGATTGATCGAGGTTTAGAACCTGATAGTGTTACATACACAGCTCTGATATGTGGCTATTGTAAGCAAGGACAGGTTGAGATGGCTAAAGACCTTGTGAATGAGATGTGGAGTAAGGGAATACAACCAGATAGCCATACAATCTCAGCATTACATCATGGCATCATAAAGGCCAAAAAGGTGCACCTTAGGCATAACAATAACTCGGGAAAATCAGAGGTACTTTCAACACCTTACGTTTCCAGTAGTGTATTTTGAATTTCTACATGCATGTTAGTTATTTGGTCTGAATTTCTCATGCATGTTTGGTATTTGATCCTTGGTGCATCAGCTTTGAAGATTCTTTTCCCTGTGTACATTTTGCATCTCCTCATTTTTATTTTATGCAGGTGATTCGATCCTCATAGATGAGTGACATTTATTGGAGCTCTATTGCACTGCGTAAGTTGTCTATTATGGAAATGCCGAGCTTCATGCAAGGATTATCAGGAAATGCACCAGTAAATTACAACGGGGATTGGGGTGCCAAGCATCAGACCAACTTGAAAGATTCTGGTCAATCTATACCTGTTGGTGGTCTTGCCTATAATATTGCTGCACCATGAAGGTAACCAGTGTCTCTGTTCCACTATATTATGGTTGCCTTACGTTCGTGCAATTCTCATTATTGACCTCCAGCAAAGTCAATTTCTTCCTCAAATGCTTGCTTACAGTTGCTCTTCCTAACTGCAGCCTGGCGGATACAATAGCACATACTTCCAATGCTATATTGTATTCACTGCTGTCAGCTTGTGCTTTGTTCTTGAAAACTTGGATCAAGGTTTCAGGATCATCAGCCTATGTTGTAGCTAAGCCGTTAAAGGTATGATCTTCATTCTGTTTCATGTCTTTATAATTTATATAGACATGTTTTGTTGGTTAATATAAGGACGATCCTGAAGTTGAGAGCTAAAGTCTCAAGTTTCGTTGGTTAATATAAGGACGATCCTGAGGTTGAGAGCTAAAGTCTCTCTCACCCCGCACATGATTTCACTTGTCAAAAGAAAGATAAAAAAAACTTCTGTCGCTGTTATATCTGTCCGTGTGTACTATTATCAGGTGTTAAATTTAGTTAAGAAAAAGATGTGTAACAAGTTGAGCGGATATAGATGCAAGTCGACTTTGAAAAGAACTACTTAACTTCCATGTTTGAGCATGTTTATGTCGATTGAAAGATATAGGTGGACTGCTTATGCATAGAACTGCTGAAAGTTGGGTTTGATTTTTACTTATCCAACAGCAAAAAAATAAAAGCAGTAAGTACAATTTTTTTTTTGGGTTTGACTTGTTTATTGTCTGAATTTTCTGATTTTACTATCTTGATATGGAACTGCAACCTGCAAGTATTGTAGTTGATAAACTGAACAAGAACTTGTCTCCCATGCTTTTCCTGGTTTGTACCCTTTTTTATGATTTCCAGGAATGGTGATGGCTGGGTATGAGAAATCAAACATGTACAAAGAGTTAAACCTCTAGATATGGACAGCTGCAGCCTTTGGTGGAGAGTGTGTGGCATCCAGACTGTGTTGGGTGATCTGATAGGAGCAGTTGGTTCAGGGACTGTAATTTCTTGGCAGTCGCCATCATATATCAGTATTTTGACGCATACAAGAAGGTAAAAGATAGTGAACTTGGTTTGTTTAGTCTCTCAGCCATAGAACAGTTAATTCTTGGTATCATGCAAGCTGCAACATATAATTAGCTATTCTTCTCTATCTTTGAAGGTTTCAGATCAAACATCAATAATTGGACAGCCTTGCAACAACAAGAAAGCTAGCTGAAAAAAGATGCAGTAACTGGGGCTCTGGAAGGGCGCCGTTCTTTGTGTCTTTTTCGCATATATTGTAAAAGAAAAAGTTTCATGTTATAACCATGTTGTATAGAAACCTCTTTTGAATATAATTATCCATTTTGATTTCAATACAGAGCACTGTGTTTACTATCACCACCACAATTGAAAAAAAAATTCTAAATTGTTGGGCCCCTGCATAGCATGGGCATCATCCCTCTAGTTTGAGATATATATAGAAAGATATAGCCAAGATCAGTTTCAACATGTCTTTTTCTTGGAATTAATTCAAAGCTGTTGTACTTTTTTGCTCCGACAGTCTAAAAATGTTCTCAATATGACCCCAAAAAAAACTAAATATCTCTAATCTTAATACCTCTCGTTTCTGTTCGAACAGCTTACATAGCTCTTTATATAAGGACTTGCGTGTCCTTTTACGCTGCAACAAACAGCCACCTCCCCAAATACCTTATTTTCCTCTTTTTTCTCCAAAATCTTCTTTGCCTCGGTTTCCCTGTTAGTTGTGTCTTTCTTTAAGTTTCTCCAATTTCTACCCTGTTCAGTTTCTTGTTCGCCTTTGTTTATTTAATTTCTGCTGTTTATTGATCAGGTTTTCTTGGCTTTTATTTGTTTTCTGTAATTCATCTGCTTTGTCTACATGGAGTGATGGAGAACATCTATCCGTGCACCCTCCAAATTCCACATGCATCCTTCTGGTCTTCCGCAAGGTCAGAGGTAAGAGACAAAATAAAAGATAGTGAAAATCGTGACACTTTTAGAGGTTGTCATTTTATAAACTTTTTTTTTCCTCTTTGATAGCACAGAGAAGTAGAAAGAAGATGCAGTAGCTTATTTATTGGTATACTGCATGGAAAATGACGGCATTCATCGTTTACCCATTGTGGTCAGTTCACTTTTGATATTTGGAATGTGAGACTTTAAATTTTATGTAAGAGTTCGTTTATCGTATTTGATCCTGGTATATTTCATAAATTGATGTTTAGTACCAGCAGAAATTAGAAAATAACTGAAAAGAGACTTCAAGATGAATGTGCCTTATTGCTTAGACAATGAGGTATTGGTGAAATGAAGGATGAATTTCATCTGTTACTACATATTAATTTAGTTCAATCTTTTTGAGCATAGTGCATTTGTTGAAGAATATGGATGTGAAATGGATAAAGGGAGTACATGGCTGAAGACGTTGAAAATCTAGTCTGGTAACTGCAACAGAAGTATGTTTTGTACCTCGGATCTTCCAAAGATTTGGCTGAGAGACGAGTTGCAACCATTGTTTTGAGAAAGAACGAAGTTTGATCTCCTTATATGCGATATCAGGTAGATTGTAGTTTATCTGTACATTCCGATTTTTTCTATGTTTTTTATTTTTTAATAAATAAGTGATTTTAGCCATCTTATGATCCAAAGAAGAATGAAGAATACAACAATAACAATCCCATACATGAGAAAATTTTCTTTTAGACTCGCTTCTTTGCCGGTGGCTGCTGGTGAAGCCAGTTCTATGAGGCAAGTCAATGAGGCCAACTTAATGAAGGTAGTGTTTAGGAATTTTCAGTATTGATTCTATTTTCTGCTTTATTCTTGGGGATAAAACTAAAAAAGTTGGTTTGTGCAGGGATGGAATATTATAGTCATGGATATTACCTTTTTCTTTTCGCCTTTGTATATTTCTTTGTCTGCTTAGTCAGGGAAAGCCTGTCCATTTCTCCCCTTTTTTCTTGTTTGTTTCGTATGAAGCTCAGGGATTAAAAGCAATGCAGAAACTTGTTGAAATTTGATTCCAGTTTTCTTTTTACTGGATTCTGATGGATCATCTTTATTGTGAAAATCCTCCTATTGCTTTCTTAATATTGCTCTAAACACATTCTTTTATAGTATACGCTTTATTAGTAGAATGAGACCATCAAGCATTAATTCACTGGAGATTTCACTGATCTAATATTTTTCAATTATGACCAGTTCAAAATATATGAGAACCCAAGAGCTTTGTCCTCACTCCTCAGAAGATAGAATATGAATATGTGCCTTTTAATTTATAAATTAACAACTTAAGTGAACTAGATGTTTTGTTTCCCTTTTTGGTTTCCAGCAATAGAATAGGTGCTGGGTGATGAACTAATGTATCTTTGGTTTATTTATATCAACATTGTACTAGGTAGGTGGTCCATTTGACTAATTATGTGTAGTTATTAAAGATTTTTTAATCCTACTTTGATAAGCATTGTGTTTTAGGCATGTGTTTTATATCTTTTGGAGGTGGAAGCATTTTAAGTAGGAGCGAAGTGTTCTTTTTATTTTTAATTTTAACCTCTGAAGAAGTCAATTAGTTCACTGATTTCTTGCTGAATGACGTGAATTATCCTTGATAGAGGAATCTTTTCAGTGCGATCATGTGATTGATAGCGAACAATCTTTGTTGAAGAAGATAATCGTTCTTGCTAAAAAGAGAGGGAATCAACTTCCTTATGTTAAATAATTATTCTGGATAATTCTCTTGTAAATGACTGCTGGTGGTTGATGGAGCAAATGGAGAACCCGGTAATCAGGCACAGCTCCAGGGAGATTAATGCAGTAGCAGATAATCTAGGTAAGGAAGGAAAGAAGCGAGCATATTTTGTTTATGTTAGCTATCTAGCCACCTCATCCCCTACTACCCTTAAGTAACTAGAAAGGGATAAAAGCAAGACTGTTTTTGTTAGAAAAGCCTCGACTGATGTTTGTAATTTTTTTAGCTCGCTTTGGGAACATCTACGCTCTTAGGAGCGCTACTTGTTACGATGCTACTTAGTTATTAGTAATATATTTGCTGTTTTTACCAAAAAAAAAAATTCTGTATTAGGAACAATTTCTTTTTGGTACTCGTGTGATGCCTATTAGATCATAAAAGTTTTATTTGGCTGAAAATTCACCCCCTTTGAAAATTAGTAGTTTTATTGAATCAGCATATGCTATCTTTATTCATACTTTCTTATTGTTCTTCACCTAGCAGTTTTTGAATAATTTGCTTGGAATATACTTTAGTTTGTATTTCATTTAGATGTTCTGTTTGAAGTACTCGTGCTGGATTGATCTTGCCGTCTTGGCATACTTGATAGGGACCGATTCGTAATATTCTGGTTGAGTTCTTGCATTTCTTTTCTCTGCTTCACATTTAAATGCAAATGCATTCATATTTATAGTAAGATCACATTCTCATGCTTTATCCAGGAGGCTGTGGAACAGATATTCCAGGAATTCTGAAAGCAAAAGTGGATTTTGTTTATCAGAGGAAGACTCCAGAGTAAGTCTTTGCTTCAAACTAACACCAAAAGGTTACTATTGTCAGTTGTGTGTATTTTATAGTATGAATTTTGTACCAAAGGTACTTAGATTAATGGCTGTTGGAAAATGTTTTAAAGAAATTGTCCTGGTGCTTTGTTGACTTTTTCTCTCCCAAGTATTAAGCTTGAAATATTCTTTTTATTCGCAATGTTGTTACATCCCCAGAACCACTTACGAGATTACATTGGGTCTGTTGTCATGGTCAATCGCAATGTAGTTATATCTTTATAGGCACATGAATATTTTACTGTGCCTCTTAATTTTTTGTTAAAGATGTCGCGTTTATGTTTTGTTATATCTTTATCGGTATCGAGTGTTTACATCACACACCAATAAATAAATGATACTTGTCACTTTATTTAGGGGCAATTGCATTTATACTCGCTTTTTGAGTCACGTTTTAACTTGTGCCCGTTTTGCAAAAAAAATTGCAAACGTACCCACTTTTCGCGTAACTTCAGCATACGGGCCTGAAGTAGCAAAGACAATTACGCAAAACTTCAGCATTCTAGTAGACGAGCCTGGAGTAGTAAGTGTGCTGAAGTTTTTGTTTGTATTTGCTGAACTTAAACATAGTAGCTGAAGTTTTGTTCTCTATTTGCTGAAGTTTTTGTTTGTAATTGCACTAAATAAGCTGAAGTTTTTTTGTCCTGGATTCATTAGTTTTGTCATTAAGCTTTTTCAAAAACTTCAGCAGAAGATGCTGAAGTTATTTAGTTCATTTATAAAAACTTCAGCACTAAATAAGTTGAAGTTTTTTTTGTCCTGGATAAGCTTTTTCAAAAACTTCATCAGAAGATGCTGAAGTTATTTAGTTAATTTTAAAAACTTTAGAACTAAAAGTTGAAGTTTTTTTGTCCTGGATTCATTAGTTTTGTCATAAAGCTTTTTCAAAAACTTCAGCAGAAGATCTGAAGATGTTGAAGTTATTTACTTTNAGGCTGAAGTTATTTAAAAAGTGGTTACAAGTTAAAACTTTTTAAAAAATGGGTATAGGTTAATTTGGTCGCCCCGTGCAATTTTTACCTTTATTTAACTATAACTTAAAAGTTGGGTACAAGTTAAAATTTAAAAAAAAAATAGGTATAGGTTAAATGAGGGCGATCAAATAGGGTGCCCCGTGCAATTTTTACCTTTATTTGACTACAACTTAATGTATTTAACCATGGTAAGCTACCATTTGTTTTGCACGTGATCTTAATTAATAATAATTGGTTTATCGGCTATCCTGTTCAACTAAGCTCAATTATGATACTAGATCGGAAGATAATTGATCCCTTGTCTCAAAATGCAAATAAAAGTACAAATTGAGTGAGATTTGGCTATTGCAAAGAGCTTTACCTACTCTTTCCCGAGTTAATGACAATTTAGGATTCGTTTGGCCATAGATTTTGGCAAAATATATTTGTTTTTTTTTTGGCAAATACATGTTTGTTCATGAATTTTATTCATATTTTGATAAATTCCCAAAACTCAAATCTCAAAATCAGTTCAAGAGCTGATTTTGGCCTAAAATATTACAATTATATTTTTTAAAAATTGCCCCAAACTTTTGTATTTTATAAAAGAGCCCACCATTTTATTATTTTGTAACTATGCTGCTTCGTCTTCTCGGTCATCTGATAGTGTATTATGTAGTTCATTATAAAAATGATAATTTTGAACAAATTTATTTATGTTCAGGACTATGGTTTGCGATAATATAACGAATGTTATTGATGAAGGTACTGTTGGGTATTTGTGATAGTTTTTAGAACTTGTGGGGTATAAGACATGTTTCATGTTTTTTCAAAAAAAAAAAAGTGAAATATGTTTTGAAAACTGATGTCTAAATACATTTTCATCTTTAAACCAAACTTCACCCAAATCAGATTTTTCAAAACAATTTGGGAATTTATGGCCAAATGCTAACTTACATATCTGGCATTCTTAGTCGCGTTATGAAACAATTTATAAGGGAAATTCATAGACACATAAAGATAGAGGGAAATCACATAATGAGTGAATCTCTTCTTTAAGCATGAGATAACAACACTCCTACATAGCAACTCACAATGACACTGGAATTCATTAGTTTCCAAGAAAAAAAAAGAGCAGCCCAGTGTATAAAGCATCCCATGTTCATGCAGGGTTCGGGGATGGATCACACCTCAAGGGATGTGATTTAAACAGCCTGCCCTAATGCAAGCATTAGTGGCTACTTCTCGAGTCCGTGACCTATAGGTCATACGGAGACAACTTTATCATTGCTCCAATGTTCAGCTTCTAACTCAAAGAAATCATCACAATCTTTAATGAGTTGTCTCACTTTCTGTAGGATTCCATATAATTGTACTATTATAGAGACTTGTGGATCCACAACCAGACTAAATATGAATAGCAAGTTCTGTTTCTGAAACTTCATAGATAATAAGCTGCCAGTTTTTGTCACATCTGAATTGAACACTTGAATGCCAGACTACTATTGACATTAGTGAGAACAATTGCTTGCTAATTATCAAGTTATAAAATGAAATCATCACTTATTTTTGAACCTTCAACCTGAGCCCTCAATTTGCTTCAGAAAATTGTTGGGAAAATGACATTGTATAGTCGCTCTCAGAATAGCAACCGAAAAAAATGTATATATACATTTTGTATGTTATACGACAGAATGAACAATGTTGTTTCAAGAAATTGATAGCAGTTACTAGTGTCATTTAGCAAAACATAAAATGCAAGTGAAGCAGAGGAAAAACAGAAAAGTTACCTAAGTGAAAGCTTCTGTAAATCATACAGATTAGGACAGACAAAAGTAACTCATAAAATAAAATTCAGAGTACCTTTATCATTATGAATGATGAAAAGAATAGTACATGTTTAAACTTATGATATCTTGATACAACTTTTTTGCCTGATGATTCTGTGTCAACATCCTCTCTCTCTCTATATATAGATGATCAAGTAGCTGGAAATGTTAACACCGCGCAATGTATCCCCTATCAATAAGTACTTTCTCCAACAGGACTTCGACACAATTTCTCATTTTCCCACGAGAGGCACGAATCGAGTACAAAGAAACTTTCACATATCAATTCCTTCTTCTCATAAAGAACTTCAAATAGCTTTACAATCCATAAAATTAGCTTTCGAACATGTTGTTATTGAACTTCTTCTAATGCTGAAGAAATTGTCAAGGCTTCTAATACAGGCAAACTTTCTTCATTTGATGCTTCCATTCTATATGATTTACAACGGAAGTAGAAAACAGTACTCATCATAGAGTCAACAAGCATCACAAATGAATACATTATTACCAAAAGTGGCCCTTCCCATATTCTTGAAGATTCATTTCCATAGCTTAGTATCTTCACTCTATGCTCAAACAATCCCTCCACAAATGCCATCCCAATAGTCGATCCGAGAAATATCAATAGCCCAACTTGTGTTTGCCCCTTGATGAGAGAACTAGACCGAAGCAATGCCTGCGCTCCAGAGTCATCCTCCAACACAGATATCACAATAGCAATATTGCAAATGATCATAGCATTTGCTAAAATTATAGAGAAAATCATCCCAACTATCATCGCGGGGTATAAAATCAAGTCAGGAGGGAACCCCATTACAGAGAAAGCACTGCTCACTGCCACAAGAAGTACAATAAACAACACGAGACAACCAGAAATCACCATACACACCCACATATAAGTCATGACGATGCGCTTCCAAATCTTTGTAACAATAACATAAAACTTTCTAGTGTCGAAATTCTTCCTCGAGTACGTGCAATCAACAGAGTATACTATAGCAGCTTTAGACAGGAGCAACAAAGTAGCATATAAAGGAAAACACATTGCAGCTGAAATCACCATTTCAGAGAACTTTTGACAAGACTGTTTGATAAAGGGCTTAAGTGGAAGCCCACTGGACTTAGCCAAAAGCAATAACCTAATTGTCAGTTTCTTCACAATAGATTGATCAACTAAAACATTAGATAAAAGAACAGCAGAAACAGGACAAATTAACAATGTAGCAATTGACAAGAAACCTATAGGATTGTACCTAAGAATCCTCACAGTTTCCTTTAAAATCTCCAATGCATCCATAGAATGATCAAAATGCCTATCCTGGTAATCACCATTATGATCTGTGGACTCCAATTGTGAATCTTGATAATCCGGGTCATGGTTTTTTTCCTTATTTAATACAACTGTGTTAATTCTTGGACTCAGTCCAGTAAAAGCTTCCATTTTTCACCAACCCCAATTACTCTTGTCAAATTTTTCGCAAAGCCAACAAACTAAATTCTGAATTCCCATGTCAGATCTGCATATCTCTGTCTCAAGAGTCAAGACTCAAGATTGAACGAATAACACGACAGAGGCGGATCCAGGATTTAGAGTCCGGGAGTTCCAAACCAGTACAATCTACTATATATATAGTACATTTTCTTAAAATTAATTTGCATATATTGCTCAGTACAGGTTCAAATTGAACGGCACTGCCTCGTTAAACGAGTAGTGCACATGAAAACCACAGACTCAAAGAAAAAGAAGTGAAGAAAAGTGGCACAAAGAAGCTGATCAAGGTCAGAAGAAGTGCACGCAGAAGGGGAGGAGGGGGGGGGGGGGGGGGGGGGGGGGGGGATAACGTGAAGGGAGAGAAAGGAGAATGGCGTGAGAGGGTAATGGGGAGTTAAGAAGAAGAAGATTCGAAAGTGAAAGTGAGATTACAAAGAGACTGAGAAAGGAAAGAATTTTAATAGTGGAGAGAAGAGAATTTGGACTTTAGATTTGGCTTCGATTCTTGGAATTACGTTATTTAGTTGTTAAAGGCAAAAATGGTGGATGGTATGCGTACGCCATGCGTCCCTTTACATTATTATTATTTGACCATATATGCATGCAACACGTGCTAGGTTCCCCCTTACATAATATTTTTTGAGTATTTTTTTCCCACTAGCTCCATGCAAAATTTCTACTTTTGATAAAACATAGGTTATTGTAAAAAGAAAATAAAATCATCTTGGCCAAGAACAAGAATAAAAAATTACAATAACAACAACAACAACAACAAACAAATAAACTAGTGAATTCCCACAGTTAGGGTTTGGGGAGGACAATGTGTATGCACACCTTACCCCTATCCTAGGAGGGCATAGATCTTATTTTCGATAGACCCCCGGCTAAAAAAAATATGAAAAAAAAGCAGTGGCAACAAGCAGTAACAACAAGAAGAAGATATTAAGAATACTGAAGCAAAAGATAACAATCAAATAGTAAGTAATAGTAGCAATCTACGAATAAGAAGATACCATACTTACTAATACTAGCAGTATAGGAATAAAAAAGGAAATAGCTAGACTGCCTACTAATCATCTACCCTAATCCAACTTTCATACCTTACTATCAAGCGTCATATCCTCGTTAAGCTTAAGCTACACCATATCCTGCCTAGAAGCCGTTTGGATTGTCTTAAAAAAGTGACTTTTCAGCAGAAATAGCTTTTAAGACAAAAAAATAAGTTGGGTTTGCCCTGCTTCTAGGGGTGTTCATTGTTCGGTTTGAGTCGATTTTTCCCTAAAAAGAAACCAAACCAAGTAAGTCAGTTTTTTAATATTGGAACCAAATCAAACCAATTAAGTCGGTTTTTTATCGATTCCGTTTTTTTTGTTTTTCGAGTTTTTTGGTTATTTATCGGATTGTTTTCCTTAAAATATGAGACATACACTACCAAACGCATATTCCGACGACTACATTTTCAATATAACACTATCAAATCAATTGCTCTTTGAGAAATATATCATTTACCAAGATATGTTGATGATAATTGAATCAAATAGTGATAGATAATTTAAGTACTCAATTAAAAATCGATTATTTTTAAGATGAAATAAATTCTTATACTTCGCAAAGAAAACTGCCAATCAAATTAGAATGTAAAGGCAAATAATTAGATCATTATAATAGCAAAGAACNCGGGTTGGTTTGATTTTTTTTCGGTTATTTTTTGGTTAAAATCAAAATCAAACCAAATTTGACCGGTTTTTAAAATTTAAAATCAAAGCCAAACCAAACCTATAAATTATCGATTTTTTTGGTCGGTTTGGTTCGGTTTTCGGTTTTGTTTGGTTTTTCGGATTTTTATAAACACCCTACCGACTTCTTGTGTTTGGCTTGTTTTAAGTAATTTTTAACTTATTTTAAGAATTTTTTTTGCTTTTGCCAAATACTAAAAAAATTTAAAAAAGTCTTAAAAGTTGATTTGACTAATCCAAACACCCTCCTAATCATTTATCCCTTAGTACTTCCTCTTTTCCTTTCCCCTGTTCCCTGTCCCACTGTAATACTCCATGAAGTGCTTTCTCTGATTATAAGAAAGAAAAAGGAAGAAAAGAAGAAGAGAAATTAGAGTATTTTTGTTATTTAGCCAAGGTATAAAATTTAGTACTACATTGTAGGAAAATTAGTGGGGCATTTGTATCTATACCCGTTTTTTGGGTCACGTTTTAATTTGTGTTCGTTTTGCAAAAAAAATTGCAAGCGTACCCACATTTTCGTGTAACTTCAGCATACGAGGTTGAAGTAGCAAAGGCAATCACGCAAAACTTCAGCATTCTAGTAGACGGGCCTGAAGTAGCAAATGTGCTGAAGTTTTTGTTTTTTTAATTGCTGAACTTAAGCATAGTAGCTGAAGTTTTGTTCTCTATTTGCTGAAGTTTTTGTTTGTAATTGCACTAAATAAGCTGAAGTTTTTTTTTTGTCCTGGATTCATTAGTTTTGTCATTAAGCTTTTTCAAAAACTTCAGGAGAAGATGCTGAAGTTATTTAGTTCATTTATAAAAATTTCAGCACTAAATAAGCTGAAGTTTTTTTTTTGTCCTGGATAAACTTTTTCAAAAACTCCAGTAGAAGATGCTGAAGTTATTTAGTTCATTTGTAAAAACTTCAGCATTAAAATATGAAGATTTTTTGTACTGGATTCATTAGTTTTGTCATAAAGGTTTTTCAAAAATTTCAGCAGAAGATGCTGAAGCTATTTAGTTCATTTGTAAAAACTTCAGCACCATATAAGCTGAAATTTTTGAAAAAGCTTTCTAACATACTAGATAAATAATCAGATTGCCAACAATATCCAAATCATAAATATTGGAAACAATAAACGTGAAAAGAACGGAATTATCATTGTCTACTAACTTACGTAAGTGGAAATATTCACAAATTATTGTCTACTAATTTACGTGATTATTTATAATTTATTTTTAAATAATCTGATAAATATATTTATGACAATCATCCCATGAACTGAAGTTTCATAGCAGCACTAACAGCATCAGAAGAAAGAAGAAGAAGAAGAAGAAAACGAAGGAAAAGGAGGAGGAGAAATAGGGCTGAAGTTGTTTAAAAAGTGGGTACAAATTAAAACTTAAAAAAAAAATTGATATAGGTTAAATGAGGGCGACCAAATAGGGCACCCGTACATTTTTACAAAACTAGTAGAGTACAAAAGAGGCTATACTTAAAATATTTAAAAGTCAATGGAATCATATGCGACGAATAAATATAAAGGGGCTACTAACTAAGGGCAACCTATTAAAATGAATAGCGATGTGAAAGTTTTACTTTTTTGATATTGGGATCATCAAAATTTATGTGGATGGTAAACTTTGTATTAGTGAGTAAAAGTAAGCTTTTAATTAGAAATGTATTAGTACTATGTAACTTAAATTTCAAGATTATATATATTAATAAGAACGGAAAAAGGTAAAAAATACTTCTTTACTATGCAAAAAAATTATTTATACTCCCCGTTATACTTTCAATTCAATATTACCCTCGATGTTATAAAATTGATGAAAAAATACCCCCTCTGTTAGTGTCCTTCATTATGACCAACACTATTTACGTGGCTTGATATTTTATAAACTTGGACGCCACGTGACCTGCCACCTCATTACCACCTCCAATCCCATTTTACCCTCTTCCCCGCTTCTTCTTCTACTACTATCTCCCCCTTTACCCCAACCATAACAATAACCATATCCTCCTCCATGTATAGCTATCCTTTCATATACTTTAAGAATATCCAACATTTTTTCACAAAGAAGCATTGCGTCTTCCCATCCATCAAATTCTACTGGTCACAACGATAAAATTAGGGGTGGCAAATAGGCAGGTTAAGTTGAATTTTGGGCGGGTCAAGATGAATTAGGTCAATAAATGGGTCATTACCCGACTCAGCCCAAAGTGTACTTGGGCTAAGATGGGCTGGGTCAAGATGTGCTAAACAATGAGTCATAATCTAACCCGTCCAACTTGACCCATGTTTTAGAACCATGCTCATTTTGCATATAAAAAGCCTTTTACCTTAAAATGTGTAAGTCGAAAAAT